GCAATAAAGCAAAAGCAGCTCCGGCAGCCTCTCAACCTCTTCTTAGCTCAAAAGAGCCACTAGTGCAGGCCTCCGAGGTGTTTGGGGCAGTTCTCAGCAGCTTGACATGCCCCATCTGGCCTCTTTCTCCTTCCCTCCTCCCTGCTGACCCCCAACTCCCTTCAGCTGGCCAGCCTGGGCCCTGTCCCCAGAATATCAGAACCCCCAAATGGGATCCATTTCCGGGTTGGGTGTGTCAAATTTCACTTTTCTCCATGCCTGAACTTTGAAAGGAGAAGGCAGGCATGCTCCTTTTTGGAATGCAGTGTGTATATGGAGGGGGGGAACATGTGCTCAGACAACTTGCCCCACCCTATCTATGAGAAAGTGGGAGCCCCTTAGGTGAGCCTTGCTTTGGTGTTCCCAAGCAGACCCAGTTCCCTGCGTTCAGGTTCTCTGGCAGAGCTGGAGGCTCTCCTTGCAATCCTTTTTACTAGGAGTTCCACGGAGATCAAAGGAGCTTATACACACAACAGGCATTTGGAGTAGGATTTATTTTATAATTTTTAAATTAAAAAATCTAATCATAAGCCAGTCGGGCCATCTGAGCAGTTACTCTAGAGCAGCAAAGCCTTAACCAAATAGTGCGATTGTGAGGTGAGCTGAGCAATTATTGAAAGGCGGCTTTCTCTGTAAGAGGGATTTTAGTCCTCGCCCAGTGGCACAAAAGGGGCCGGCGGGGCAACCTCTTCTCCCGCTCCGGAAAGTGAGAATTGGGGGTGGGGGGGCACGGTTGGGCAGCTGCAGTCGCTTCCAGGCAGCCAAGCGCCCAGGCCGAGCGCTGAGTGCTGACTCCTGCAGCTCCAGTGTTCGGGTCCCTGAACGGCCTCCTCCGGAGGCTTGGAGCTGTAGTTGGCGGCGAGGCAGCCAGGAATGGAGTGTGTGTTTGTGTGCAAGGGTGGGTGAGTCACAAACATCTGCGCAGTTTGGAGGTTCTGGGCAAAAAGAGGAGACCGGCAGAACACAAACTAAGCATGACCTCTGGAAAAGACTGTCTTCAAATAAAAATTCCAGATCTTATCCCATTCACTTCAAATATCCCCTCCCTCCAAAATTAATATATTTCCAAGAGCAGGGTGGAAAGCAAAGGACAGCAAGGTGAGGCCTGCTCATGAACCTCTGAACCTCTTCAGGGCCGGGGTCCAGTCCCACCCGCTCTCTCCAGTTCAGTGCCACACAGGCCCCCAGCCTTTCCCTGGCCTGGAGCAGGGGAAGGCCGGAGTTGAGTGCTTAACTCGCCCTGGGAATCCATCAAGTACCCAGCCTCCAATAGGACCCTTAGCCTTGGGGACTCCAGGCCAGTGACTGCACCCCACCCAGGGGTCCTAGGCACAGGCAGTGAATTTCTCTCCTATAATTAGAGCTCTCTAAAATCATGTGTTTTGAATTGTGAGGACTGGAGCAGCAAATGGTAACTTTCCCCCTTTATTCCTTTTTGGTGTTTTTCCGAATCCTGTTTTTGAATTCACTTATTAAAGCTTTGGAAACCAAAATCTGCTCTTGACACCAAGCCCCATCCAAATGCCTGATTCGGGAGACCAGGGAGCCAGGGCAGCAGCACAGAGACCTGCGGGCCTGATGGGGAAGGTTTTCTGATTTCTCTAGGCTTGTTTTATAGAAACAAAGAATAAGTTCTCTCCTTTCCTTCCCAAGACTTGTGCATATTTACAGAGCTCAACTGCAGTTTTAATAAAACATCTGTTCTTGCTTCTGCTGATGAGTTTCCATAATTGTTTTCAGACAAATTTAACAGGAAAATATAAATATATTTAGAAAAATCCAAGTCCCAATTTTCCCCCAAAGCCCTTCTTTTGCCAAAAAAATAAAATTAACATGAAACGGGAAAAGGAAAATATAATCCAAAGGAGGAAAGATCGGGCTCATCTGACCAGCTCTTCCCCCTTGGATCGAATCCTTCCAGCAAATTTCAGCTGCATAATTAAAGATCTAACTGAAAGAAGAAGGCTTCTTTCCTCAGGAATGAAGGAAGGTGATGGGAGAGAGTGTGGTGGAAATTAATTTTGCTGCAATTCTTTAAGCAGTGAGGGAATTTATTTGTATTTCTGCTTCCCCTTCTCTCCCCCTTCCAACATTTCTGCCTTTTTCACCCAGCAGCTGGTTTCTGTTCATTATAAATCGGCGAGACCTTTCAGTCTCTGCCCTCTGTTTAGGGACGTAATAAAACACTTAACTTTCCGGGCCTGAGACTTACATTCTGCTCCTTAGGTCGCCCACCCCCCTAAGCCCACCGCCTTTAGGCCCCGAAAGAGAATCTCCCTAACTTTGGGGCCCCTTTCCTCTCCAGACTTGGTTGAAGAGGGTTAAGGAAACCCTGCCATCCTTGCTGGGGGACCGTAGCACATGCTTCCCCAGAAGCACCTTCTTTCTTCCAAGGTCCCTCCCTCCCCTACCCACCCATAAAAGAGATTTTAAGATACATAGAAAATCAACACTCATTGAAAGTGAAACCTCATTAAGACATCCTATCTTCCATCATTCAATTTGTTGTACATTGCAACAATTTAATATCTTGAAGGAAATATCACTGACGTGATTTATCCCTCTAGCAATCTCTCTCTGAAGTGGGGGGGAAATTTACTGTCTCTTTTCTGGCCCCTTCTACTTGTTACGCCACTACCCTCAGGGCAGAAAGGAGGCTGGGAACTTTGAGAGAGGTTACTTCTGTCCAGGGGTGCACTGACTTGTTCCCTAGCTCAGCCCCCAAGGAACTCTCCCCTTGTTCTCTCTCCCCCCTACCTCTTGCCCTCCAGGGGGCCTGGAGCGCAAACCAGCTGTTGGAAAGCTCTGCCCAGGCATGCCATGAAACTGAAGACAGCTGGATTCTAGAGCGAAAAGCAACTCATGTTGGCTTCTATGTTTGTGTACCTGCCATGTCACCCCAAAATAAGATAACTCATCTCAAATTTCTTTCTTAATTTAAAAACCCTCCTCTACCCTTTCACCTTCATCTCCTTGGGGAGAAGAAAGTGTGGTTCAAGAGGAGGAACTTTTACAATTATAGGGGTCTTTCCCCTACTTTTCCAAATACCAACAAATTTCACTCCTTTCTGAAGGATTAGGGCTGTATTTTTAAAAGCCAACACAAATTGTCTGGCAGGAAGACTCTTCAACCCCTTAACGAGGTTCATGTATTAACTAACATGTTGTCTCTACACACTGTCTGCTTTTGGGTTCGAAAACTTTATTTTTCCCCCCTAGCGACACTCCAGGGAAACCTTAACGTTACAGAAGATGAATAAACGAGTTTTTTCCCAGCGTAGTCCCGTTTATGGCTTTATTGCTACCCATTGATTACTCTGCTTTGTTACACAGAAGGAAAAGATCATAAAATCCGGCGACATCCGGGTTCTTGTTATAGCCAGTCCCCCCCCCCCAAATGGTGAGAGGAAAATATGAGCTTTCACTGCTCCCTGCGCACTCCCCACTGCCCCCTCTTTGTCAACTCAAAGCATTTTCAGCCTATGTCACGATATCAAATTAAGTTTGGATTAATCAGGAGAAAAAAACCCATCTGTACACCTTCCCCTGTTTCAGTTCGCCCACTGCGGCTCCCTCGGAAGCCTCGGACTCAGCTCCCTTTTCCTAACCATCTCTTCCTTTTGCTCAGTCTCAACGTGGAAAAAATTGGGGGTAGAGGCGCGGAGAGGCCCAGCCCCACCAGGGATGACTGGCACTTGGGAAGAGCTCCCCAGGAGCTCTTTACTGAAGTCTCCAAGCCCCAGAGCTCAGGTCCAGGGACGCCTCTCCTGGCAGGGCTGTGAGTCCGGAGGGGGCAGGGGGCTCTGACCTGTGCAGACGCTTGAGCCTGCAAGAAGCCAACTGTCCATCAGAGCCCCACTAGCCTTCTCTTTCTGGCTGGATCCAATGTGAATTGCCCCACCGGTCCTCGCTGGCTCCAAATCATAAATTCTCACCAACATAAACAGGAGTTGATGTCCCTAGAAAGACTCTCAGAGTTTTCTTTCGTCTTCCTTTCTTCTCTTCTTTCTCTTTCTCATCTTTTACTTCTTCTTCTCTTTATTCTTTGCATTTTTATGCATTTTCCCTTTTAGGCAAAAATGCTGCGAGAGTCTTCCCCAAAAGGGGGTCCCGAGCAGGCAGATGGGGGCAAGCAGGCAAAGGAAAGCAAATGCATGGCCCCTTTGCCCACTTCAGCTCTGCCAGTGTTTCCCAAAGTCTCACCCTTGACCCTTTAGACCTAGTTGCTCCCCACATCCCTCCTATACCCAAGACTCTCAGCCACACTCTCCTTCTTCTGGGCACCATGTTTTATGAAATTTCTTTCTACTGATTTTTTTTAATTATTGGGAAAAAATACCGGTTTAGTGATGGGGACTTACTCCATGGAGTGTCAAAACCAGGATTTCCTGTAAGATTTCTGGGGACTCCCCTGAGCTGGGAGGGAGCTCCTCCCATGAAGAAATCAGGATGTAATTTTAGAAGGGGGCAGATATAAAAGATGAAATCAGATTGAAAATACAGGGATTCCTTCAGCCCTGGCTCTGGCCACAGAACAGCAAAGTTAGCTGGGGCTGAGAGATTTCCTGGGAGTGTAGCTCTCCTTCTCTGGGCCCCAAGGCCCTGCTCACGAAGGTGCACCCCTCTTTCACCCCCAGACCAGTTCTCTTACATATATATTTTTAAAGGAAACCCAAGTCTTACTTTCAAAGCACACAGTCTCAACTAGGGAATCAACAGAAGCAGAAGCGATTTTTTTCCCCCTTCTTGACATCTGGCTTACGATTGGCTGGAAGGGGGTCAGCTGACTTTGTCATTTTGTCTGTCCTGGATTGGAGCCGTCCCTATAACCATCTAGTTCCGAGTACAAACTGGAGACAGAAATAAATATTAAAGAAATCATAGCCCGACCAGGTAAAGGCAAAGGGATGAATTCCTACTTCACTAACCCTTCCTTATCCTGCCACCTCGCCGGGGGCCAGGACGTCCTCCCCAACGTCGCCCTCAATTCCACCGCCTATGATCCAGTGAGGCATTTCTCGACCTATGGAGCGGCCGTTGCCCAGAACCGGATCTACTCGACTCCCTTTTATTCGCCACAGGAGAATGTCGTGTTCAGTTCCAGCCGGGGGCCGTATGACTATGGATCTAATTCCTTTTACCAGGAGAAAGACATGCTCTCAAACTGCAGACAAAACACCTTAGGACATAACACACAGACCTCAATCGCTCAGGATTTTAGTTCTGAGCAGGGCAGGACTGCGCCCCAGGACCAGAAAGCCAGTATCCAGATTTACCCCTGGATGCAGCGAATGAATTCGCACAGTGGTGAGTTTTACAGCTCCGAGATATAAATTAAATAAACTGAACTGGCTTTATGACCGGCTTCCCTAGAAGAACGGGCGGAGAGAGTTTTTTATGGCCCCATAAAAACAATCACGCTCGTCTCCTCGCCGAGACAGGGCCCCCTCTTCTGCCCCTTCAGCTCGCCTCCCGCTCGCTCACAGGGGCCTGGCCCCCTTGGCCCCTGACGGATTGGAGGGCTTCAAGGCGAGCTGAGGGGGCAGGAACAGGGCAGGGGATGAGGGGAGGGAGCAGAGGATGAGGGAGCCCCCCAAAGTCGAGTCAGGCTGAGGAGAAGGGAGGGGGAGAGGGGAGGGCAGAGAAGTGGGGATAAGTTTCCAAGGAGCTAGAGTGCTTGGGGAGATGGGGAAGCCCAGTCCTTGAGAAATGGGGCCCTCATCCCCAGCATTTGGGATTTTTAAAAAATCAGCTTTTAGACTTGCAGCTTTCTGCTTGATTTTGCCCCGCCCCCCAACACCTTTCTTGGGGACACACACCTCCCACCCTATGGGAGGTCTGAATGAAGTTGGGTTCTGGCTGTACCCCCAGTGGGGGGGGCAGGGCAAAAGGGAGAAGACTGGAGCCCAAGGGGGCTGTGAGCTACTGGCCAAGTTGGGAGCGTCAGGACTTTGCTAGGCGAAATCATCTGCGGAGGACGTCTTGCTGATTGTTTTTAGTGTGTTTTGTGCCCGGATCTCTAGGGGTCGGCTACGGAGCGGACCGCAGGCGCGGCCGCCAGATCTACTCGCGGTACCAGACCCTGGAACTGGAGAAGGAATTTCACTTCAACCGCTACCTAACGCGGCGCCGGCGCATCGAGATCGCCAACGCTCTCTGCCTGACCGAGCGACAGATCAAAATCTGGTTCCAGAACCGCCGAATGAAGTGGAAAAAAGAGTCTAATCTCACGTCCACGCTCTCGGGGGGCGGCGGAGGGGCCAATGCCGACAGCCTGGGCGGAAAAGAGGAAAAGCGGGAAGAGACAGAAGAGGAGAAGCAGAAAGAGTGACCAGGACTGTCCCTGCCACCCCTCTCTCCCTATCTCCCTCGCTGCCCCAGCTCTCCTTCAATCACACACTCTGTATTTATCACTGGCACAATTGATGTGTTTTGGCTCCCTAAAACGAAATTAGGGAGTTAAGTGTGGACCTGAAAGTCAGCTCCGGACCCCTCCCTCACCGCACAACTCTCTTTCACCATGCGCCTCTTCCTCCTTGCTCCCTCACTAGCTCCTCGGCTTGTCAGCAGGCCTCTTCCCCCGCCCAGGCCTTGGGGGCTCCGGTCCCTGAACTCAGATTCCATAGATTTCCCTTCAAATGAGGACTTGGCTCCCCCGACTCCCTCGGTGCCCCCGCCCCTGCCAGCCGGCTCCGGGCCCTGGGGCCTCTGCTTCGGGCCTCAGGGCCGGCCTGGCAGCAGGGGAGGGCTGAAGGCCCAAGGAGGGTGTGCCTTGGCCCCACACTAACCCCCAGGACTTCCCCGAAGTCCCTGCCCGGCCCCTCTGCCCCAGCAAATGCCCAACCCTGGCAAATTGTATTTAAAGAATCCTGGGGAGGGGGGTCATTATGGCATTTTACAAACTGTGACTGTTTCTGTGTGAATATTTTTAGCTGTATTTGTGGTCTCTGTATTTATATTTATGTTTAGCACCGTCAGTGTTCCTATCCCATTTTAAAAAGGAAAAAAAAAAGAGGGAAAATCACAAAAAGAGAGAAAAAAAGTGAATGACGTTTGTTTAGCCAGTAGGAGAAGATAAATGAATAAATAAATAAATAAATCTCCTCGTGTTACCCTCCTGTATAAATCCGACCTCTGGACCCATTCTCGAATATTTAATAAAACTGATATTATTTTTAAAAGTTTATATCGGGATTTCTGTTAATTCGCTCGCCCGTCGGCCCTTGAGGTCAAAGTTGGAGCAGGCTCCAAGCGCTCCTGCGTCTGGCCGCCGCTTGCAAGCCCTCTGCACTCGTCTTTCCCGGAGCCAGGCGCGGAGCCCTGGCCTTCCGCTTCTCCTCGTGATCGCGCTGGGGGGCTGGGAGGCCTCTCTGGGCTCCCTGTGCGGAGCAACTCATACCCTGCTACAGAGGTCGCATAGGATTTTGTTGGGGTGGGGGCTGGGTTAGTCGGATGGAGCACCATCCCCACGCAGGCCTTTCTTCCTGCCTGTGGTACCCTCGGGTCCTCGCTTCTGAGCCCAAAGCCCCGAAAGGGCAGAAAAGAAGCACTACTCAGGCACTAGGGTCGCCTCCTCCCACTTCCCGGAATTGGAGGCGGGGGACGCCGCGTGAGCAAGACCCTGGCCCGCGCCAGGCCGGCTGTTGCGAACCGTGCCGGAGGCAGAAAAACGGAGGGGAGAGAGAAGACCGCGCGGGATCGGAGCCCTTCAGCAGGGATTGAGCGATTCAAGGACATCTCGAAAGAGAAAGCCTGGAAACTGAGCCCTTGCCTGCTCTAGGACTCTTGACGTGGCCGGGACAAAATTCCTTCATTGCAGTCCCAGTCCGTCTGGTTCCTTATTCTTTTCTCCTCAAACCCGGCGGGTGAGGAGCGAAGCCGGACCCTAACCATTTATCAGGTCTGGCCTTCTCTCGCCAAGCCCAGCCAGAGAAACCTGAGTGGGCCCAGGAGGAGAGGTGGTAAGGGGGGTCTCCCGGAGGGAAAAAATCTGCCAGAGTTTTCCAGATCCTCCAGATCCCCGCCAGCTTCCCCTCCAGTACCTCCTTCAGCGGGAGGGGGGGGGCGGCGGGGAGGGGGCTTCTCCTGGCGGGGGCGGAGATTTCCTGGGAAGAAGCAGGCAGGAAAGAATAACACTTGGGGCTAGGGGATGTGGGAAGGGCCTAATGGCTGCAGAGACCCTGCGAAGCTTGCCCAGGCGCCTGCCTTGCCCACCCTCTACCCAGGTCCTCTCCATGTCTCCAAATAGCTCAGGAATTACTCTCCCGCGGACCTTCTGAATTCAGGTCTCTGGAAAGCCTAGTCCAGACACCTTTTCCCCAAAGGGCACAAGACAGGCCTTTCCCTCTGCCTTATTCATATAATATTGTGGAGGCTTGAATCTTGCTTCTCCATGTGCTCGATTAACATCTATTTTCTATCTAAAATATCTAGCATAGGTACCACAAGAATGCAGGAATGCAGGGAAGCAGTCCTCCAGCCCATTGTGTCAGGTTCTTTACACACACACACACACACACACACACACACACTTGAAAAAATTGCCTTGCTGCCATTCTGGGGTAGCTGGTATGGTGAGCTCTACCCAACTCCACCTGGCTCCTCAGCTCCAGGCCCATCCTAGAGAGTACCCAGGACTCAGCCACAGGATGACCCCCCCATCTTGTTCAGCCCACCTAGGACCCCTCCTCTTGAGCATCCTGTCTTCTTCTCCAGAGGCCAAGTCCACTTTCCCATGCGGATAGGCACCCTCTCAGCAGTAGCTAGGGTGCCTTGGGGGCTTTTCAGGCCAGGGAACTTGACCTTTGGTTTAGGGTACCTGAGATAACCTCCCTTGGTTCTCCAACCTGGGCAGGAGAACTTAACTAAATCCCCTTTCCTCAGCCATTTTTGAATATTGGAAGGCCCTTGAGATTGAGAGAACAGGATTATCCATTACAAAAAAACACTGTGCGCATCCTAAGTGGGGCCTAGTCTTCTCTCAAATTTAAATAGAATTTAAAAGGCTAGCTCAAGGGTTTGTTGCAGTAACAACCAGCTTCTCCACAGGGTAGAAAATCCCACTGCCTGAAGGCGTGTTGGAGCTCGAGGATGCAATTTCTCCAAGTAGGCACCAGGTGTCGCTGTGGGCTCGTTGTCCCGGCTACCCCCCAATTCCAAGAACCATTTTTTTCCTCCCCCTTCCCTCTCTTTCTCTCTCCCCCTTGGTTGGGCTTTGCCAACATATCAAGATGCGTTTCGCCGGCTTCCATCACTAACCTCCCGGAGGTCATCAAGCCAAATTTATGAGTGGCCGCTGGAGTCACGTGACTCTATTTAAGGCTCCCTTATTTGGGAAGAGCGCATAGGATAAAGAAAGAGATATCTCCACCTATAAATTGTGCACTTTGGAGAACAAAAAACCCCTCAACTTCAAAGAGTCACAAATCACCCTTAATCAAAAAGGGTGCAGAAATTTTTTTGGGCCCTCCCCGCCATGAGCTCCTACGTAGCCAATTCATTCTATAAGCAGAGCCCCAATATCCCTGCCTATAACATGCAAACTTGTGGGAACTATGGATCGGCCTCAGAGGTGCAGGCATCCAGGTACTGCTACGGCGGATTGGACTTAAGCATCACTTTCCCACCGCCTGCGCCTTCCAACTCTCTCCACGGGGTAGACATGGCTGCCAACCCCCGGGCTCACCCCGACCGCCCTGCCTGCAGCGCCGCGGCCGCTCCGGGACACGCTCTGGGCAGAGACGAAGCGGCTCCTCTGAACCCCGGGATGTACAGTCAGAAGGCAGCTCGCCCGGCGCTGGAGGAGCGAGCTAAGAGCAGTGGGGAGATCAAAGAGGAGCAGGCACAGACAGGGCAGCCCGCCGGACTGAGCCAACCACCGGCCCCGCCACAGATTTACCCGTGGATGACCAAACTGCACATGAGCCACGGTAAACTTTAGGGCTTCATTTTGCGCGCTCGGGTCCGCCTGGGTTTTATAGGCCATGCGGGGCAAATAAAGAAAAAAAACCTGCGGCCATAAATTTTACGATCCAGGCATCAATGGCTCGTAAAACTGTCCACTAAAAGGCTTAGAGGCTGTGTGCGCCCAAATTTACGACGACATAATTGGATCATAGGAACAAAACGTGTATAAAAGGCAATATTCAATTTTTGGGGGAGAGGGAGGGAGTTAAAAAAATAGAGGGATCTGAAGGGTGAGGAGCGCGGGGCTCCAGAGCGGGGATCCCCCCGCGACTCCCTCCCTCCCTCCCTGCGGAGCCGGCTCGGCCGGCGCTCGCAGCTCCGGAGGATTCCAGCGACTCGGGAGGGGCGGGAGGGGGGTCCCCGGTGCTCGGATCTCGAGGGTGCTTATTGTTCGGTCCGAGCCTGGGTCTCCCTCTTCCCCCCACCCCCCCTCAGCCCCTCCGGCTGCTGAGCGAAGGCTGCGGTGGAAAGTTTCCTGCCTGGGCGGAGGAGCTTCTCCCGGGGCTGGGCTGGGCTGGCCCGCCTGAGGCCCGCGGGGCCTGTCCTGCAGTGCTCGCCTCCTCTCCCTCCGGCCGCGGGTGGGGGCCTGGGGCTGGGGCGGGGGCGCTGGGCGCTGCACGCTATTCACCCCTTCCTGGCTTGGCTGGGGGGTTTATGTTCCAGAGTCGGACGGCAAGCGGTCCCGAACCAGTTACACGCGCTACCAGACTCTGGAACTCGAGAAAGAATTCCACTTTAACCGCTACCTCACTCGCCGCAGGCGCATAGAGATCGCCAACAACTTGTGTCTCAATGAGAGACAGATCAAGATCTGGTTCCAGAACCGCAGGATGAAGTGGAAGAAGGATTCCAAAATGAAAAGCAAAGAGGCTCTTTAGAGGCAGCGAGGAGGCCCGCAGACCGCATCCCCGAGCCGGCTTCGGTCCCTGCCTTTCCTTTTCGGGTTTCCTCTCTGTGTGTTTTGGGGCGGGGGCAGGTGCTGGAGCACTGGCTCCCGGGCCTCACAGACAAAAGAAGCTTTCCTTTGGCATTCCGCATCCCCACCGACCCAGGGTTCCCGCGAGGCTGCCTGCGCTGCCCCGTCTCCCCTCAGCTCAGTACCCGCGGCCCAGGGCAAGCTCCACAGGGCCTCCCCTGAGGGCTGCGGCGTAGAGGGGCTGGTGCTGGACGAACCTCGGCCTGGTTCGCTTCTCTGGCTCAGAGCCCCAGCTGGGCCCGTCCAAGTTAAGATGGGCCCGGCGGGCGCCACAGGCTCTCCAGCCTCGCTCTCTCCTTTGTTCCTCGCTAGTCGGGCCAAGCGGCCGCAGGCTGGCGAGGGAGTGGTTGTAGCTGGTGGAGTTCGTCTCCAGATTTGGGGTGCTTCCTTATAGCGACTAAACCCGATCTTCACTTATTAACGATTTGCATATGAAAGGGGAAGATGACTGAACATCTGCCTAGGGCCCGCTCCATTGCTCTGTGCTCTACAAACCTTTCTCCCCAAGAAAAATCCGAGAACCTCCCCAGTCCTTGCTCGCTGCATGCCCTCTCAGGCCCGCAGCCCCAGCCTGCTAACTAGCTCAAATATTGGGGTTTCCTGCCACTGGATCCCAGCAAATTTTCCTAGAGGCTCCTTGCTGTCCCATAGTCCCTGACGCGACTTACTGTGCCCTCCTGCCCCATTGCTGTTGTCCAACTATTTATTGACTCTGGGTCCCTCCTGAAACTATATTTTGTCATATCAAATAAAGATGAAGAGAGAACAGGACTAAAGATGCAGTGGCTCCTGTCTGTTTGGGGCATGTATTGGGTAAAATGTCTAAATGGGCTGTGAGGATAGGGGGAGGCTCACAACATTTAAGCCTCCTCTTAAAAAAAAAATGTTAGCTTCTAGGGGCATCAAGTAGAGGGAAGTGAAATTTAGTTCTTTCCCTGATCCTTAACTCCAAGAAAGGCCTGTGGGGGCAGAGGAGGGCACTCCTGAACTGGCTTTCCTCCTGCTGTGGCTGTCCAAGGCATTCAGGCCTCTGCACCCGATTCCTACCTTGGCTGGGTGCATCCGAGGCCTCTGGACTGACAGCGGCCCCTGCTCCATGCCAAAGCTAAAGTGCAGGGACCAGTGGCTCCGCCGTGCTCAGACTCAGGCCCTTCTGGGTCTTCGAAGGTCTCTCCTGAGCCTAGGTGGTACCTGAGGGCCCTTGCTGGACAGGGAGGGAGGGCTGAGCCCTCACTCCAGAGACC